GGTGAAGCCGGTCGCCAAGAAGTCAGACGCGTTGCCGGTGTTCTTGCAGTGGCTGGCGGTGGCTGAGTGGCAGACGATGTCATCGACCGAGTCGGTGTACGTGGCGGCCACTGAAGCTGGCAAGGAGGGACGCCGCCTTCGCTTCCTCCTCTGGAGGCCGGCTGGACGCCGGGAAGCCACTTTCTTGCACGTGGACAACAAGCCGGCCATCACGGTCGCCGAGGGCATGGGGTTGACAGGCAACCTCAAGCACATGGAGCGGCGACAAGCCTCGCTGCAGCACATGGTGAAGCGCGGGAAGTTCTCGCTACAGTACATCACGACCGCTGAGCAGCCAGCCGACTTCCTGACTATTCGGCCTTCAACCGGTGCTCCGTCGCAATCGGCCAGGTGCGCTTGGCCGACGTGGGCGACGGCGACAACCACGTGCAGGAGTAGGTGCCATGCCCGCTTGCATGGCTGGTGCGGTGATTGGCGTGCTGTGTGTTGGGTGCACACCGACGGGTTATTCTCGGAACTGTACTGCCGTGTGGGCTAGAGGCCCAAGCGTGAACGCGGCAGGGGAGTGTCAACGGGAGCGTTGTAAGGCCCTGTCCTCGCTTGGGCGGAGCCATACTTGTGGTCGGATGTGCGGGAGCTGCAGCCAACCTACAGCAGTGGGCACGGGGGCCATTGCAAGGGCGCCAAGCTGGAGGGCGCCTGGCTGTAGGGCGTCGAGCAGGAGGACGCCGCCCTTGACGCCTGGTTGGCGTCCCGGACGCCTGGATGGCGTCCAGGGAAGCTGGACGCCGAGCTAGGCGTCGTCACGATTACCCGGGCGCCTGTCAACGTCGTCGGCGCCTGCACGGCGTCCTAGGGGTCCGGACGCTGACATGGGCGTCTCGGGCAGCCCAGACACCGACCTGGGCATCTGGTCGGCGTCCTGGGAGGAGGGACGCCGCTGTGGAGGTTTGCTCGGCGTCCTGGGCGTCTTGGCGCCGACCTGGGGATTCGAAAGGCGTCTTGGGCGCCTGGACGCCGGGCATTCGTGGCCGACTACGGACTACGCTGGTCGGCCAGGCGTGGTTGCTCGGTCGACCTGAATACCCAGGCGATGTGCGCGAGTGTCGCCAGGGTGGAGTCTGCGAGGCCGACCTCAGGGGTGGTATCTCGAGGTCGACGTGGTTGGTGGGCACAGTCGCTGGTGTGGAATATGCCAGGCGTCTGCGCTGTGCACGTGACAGGGAAGTGCGCACCAACCAGCTGCGCGCACCTGTGAAGCAGGTGCACTGTTGTCCTGCCAGTGCAACGCTCTGCAGCCGTCTTGCTGCAGCACTAGCACACCGTGGACTTGCAACGTTGGCGAACCGCTTCTCTGTAACACTGGAGCGGTGCGAGCGCTGCTGCGCTGGAGGTCAACCAGCAGCCTAGCTAGCATTGATGTAGTCTGTGATGCCAATATTGTTGCTATCATTGTTGTCATGTTTTCCTAGTGAAACTCTTGCCAATTCTCCCCGTGAACTAGCAAGAAGCGTGAACTCAAGGAAACAACTAAGTGAACGAACGCAGAGATCTCACGAGCACACGTGCCTAGCCCGTAGTCTAGCTCCCGCTGCAGTAGTTATCTCCGCATTAGTAATGAGCTTGAAGCTCTTTGAGTACATCCAGGAAGTGTAGGGAATGGATGGGGAAGGGAATCGGGGGTAATCCCTAGGGATTGGGGGTAAGGGCGCGTGTGGTCTTTGAAATTTGTAATATGTTATTAGGGCGAATTTTAGTTTTGAACTTACAGCGAAAGAAGTTCGAATTTCCTTCTATCGAAGTTCGAACATCGGGCTTACCACACTGTAAAAAATCACACACACATACAAGGTCGAACCCCGACATTCGAACTTGTAAAAAGGAGCCGAGCCGCACGTCAACATCATAGGTTACCCAGTTCGCTCGTCTTGATAGTGCGCCACGTCAACATTTTGCGCCTTGGTTTATAAGAACCTAGAGCTCCAACTCACCTTCCGCGCCGAGTGTGTAACCAGGGTACAAATAGCCCCCGAGGCAACACCTTGTATACTCGTCATCATGACTGACGTCAAGACGGGCGGGACGCGTTGCCACATCGTGCTCAAACGTGCCACGATGCTGGACACGTGGCTACCACTGTGTGCACGAATTGTGGGGTGTCTTCGTTGTGCAACTTCATGCACTGGCGAAGCGCTCGCCCGTTTCGCAAGTTGTTCGGACGTGCTGCAAATCACACACGCTCGCATGAACGTGCGCACGCACGTTCCCGCCTCCGACTCGAGTCAAGCTCATATTTCAAACTCGAACTTTTGCAGAGCCCATACAATGCTTGGTTTGCGAAGCACCCTTCGCGAAATTAGCGAATAGGGTAACCACCCAAAGTTCGAACTTTATTTTGAACTTCTAAACAGATCACACTCGCCCTAATCCCAAGGCAATCTCCAATTGGTGGGTTGGAGATTGCTTGGAGATTACATTTGGGTTTGGTTGGGATGTAGGTGTACACCCAATCCAACACAAAGTGCAAACTACACAACTCTAGGATATAGAATATATTAAGTACAAAGTGTGAGATTGAGGGCTAACACTAACACCCCCCCATAGGCGGCAATCGAACTCAGGGCACAGAAGGTGGAGCATAGAGCCCCATGGGGCCAAGGAGATGATGGTGAGGAACTTCCCCAAGGGGTTTGGTGAACAGATCAGCCAGATTGCAGTAAGATGCAACGTACTCCACGTTCAGCTGCTCCCGCTAGACAAGGTCACGGATGAAGAAATGCCGAAGTTCGATGTGCTTGGTGCGAGTGTAACACACAGGGTCTTGGGAGAGGTGGATAGTACTCTGGTTGTCACACCATAGGGTGGGGATGGACTGAGGGTAGCCAACCTCTTGGAGTAGGAAGGTGAGCCAACGGGCCTCCTGAGCAGCCATGGTTCCAGCGTAGAGCTGTGTCTCACAGGAGGAGAGGGAGACTGCTGACGACCTGGTGGAGCGCCAACTGACAATTCCGCTCCCAAGGGTGAAGCAGTACCCCTGAGAGGAGCGTACTGGCGCAGTTTGCTCTTGGTGCAATTAAGGCACCTGGGAGCAGGTGAGTCAGGTGGTGGAGGAAGTGCGGCTGGCAGGCCGAGAAGAAGTTTCTTGGAGGCCATGTAAGCAAGCGTGCAGAAGTTTGGGTGCCCGAGCCGATGGTGGTAAAGAATGGTCGGGTTGGAGAGGCGGCGACATGGGCATGGTGTGATAGGAGCCTGTGCTTGGGTGGTTGACACCTGTGGGAGCCATCTTGGAATAGGTGCTGTAGCCATAATCTCACCTTCTTATCCCTAAGCAATTAATTTCTGTTTGTCTACAGTTTTTCTGGTAGTTACACACCCTGGGAAGTTAAACATAAGTTAAACATCCTGGGAAACAATGGCCACTCGGTTCTCGGGTCAAGTCTCCGATCTGGTTAGGGGACTCCTGGGGTGACTCATCCCGGGCAAAAACCTGCGTTCGGTGAGGTCGGGTCGACCCCACCAAGCCCTTTGCTGAACTCATATTCTACCCATAAGTATTGCCTTTTGCATATTGCCGCATAGCATGTTGTTTCCGGTCCGGCCACACTCCTACGTCAACATATCATGCATTTCCTATCTCCCTCCCCATTTCTTGCCTACCTTCTACCGCATTGGGGTTCATTTTTCAGTGAAACCTCTGGCATGTATGCACCATCAATCTTATCAGCAATGCTTTGACTGGGACTTAACCAACCTGCTGTGCCTTTCCACCAACACAAACATTGTGTACTCTATATCTTTTTTTCCTGTTTCTGAATGTGTACACATTTGCATGTTTGCCATGAGCCGCACGTTGTCTTCATTTATTTCCACCCATAATATAGTTTTGCTTGCTTTACCATCAGATTTCTCGGCAACAACGCTCTGAGTGGGTCTATTCCATCCACCATCGGCAAAATGAGCAGCCTCAAAGAATTGTGAGTATCGGCAAGGAATCCAGAAAGAGAGCCCTAACTGACCTCGCACAGATTCGTACATATAGGGGCCTCTGATGGTGTGATTTGAGCAACTTGTTTTGAGAACGAGCGTACAAGCTATGCATGAGGAGGATGGAGTCTGCACCAGCGCGAATGTGAATTGAGATCCACTGGGGATGGAAGATGCCCCTGAACTGGTGGAGAGAGAATGCAGTCATTCCTCCTGTATGCCCACAACGACCTGTCACTGTTGTGAGCCGGTCCATCTCGCCACTCACAGTGGTGAGCAGGATTTGCTGCGAAACGCTTGACATTAGCCTCACTATAAGGTCCCGAAATGTCCAGGCGGTAAGATACATGGGCAAGGTTATGAGGCCCCCTAACTTAGCCTCCAGAGTTCCATTGCACAAAATAGTGGGTTTGAGCATAGGCCTGTAACCGGCTTAGTCGTTCCATTGCACAACGAGCTGCCTGGCCGATGAGATGAGTGGGCAGCTAATTAGGCCTGTGGCTCATCTATAATACACAAACCAATTGAGCCAGAACGAGCTTGTATGCCTCGCCACAATCTGTCAAATCCGCATGGAGATGGCAGTTTGCTGCCAGATTTATGTGGTTCTTGCATTTTACCACCACATTCACATAAAGTAGAAAAATTTTCATTGCCTTATCCATATGTAGTGCTCCTTCCAGTGGCTGTGAGGTAGGAACGAGCAAGAATATCCGCTTGAATACAGTGACTGCAGACCATATGTGCTCCTACTCGAATTCAATGCTACTCACCAGTGTCAGCTCACGTGTCAGGTGGGAGGACCGAAGCTTGTCATCCGGGCTGCCTCCACCAAAGTTTCCCCAAACCCCTCAGCAGCAGAGTTGCAGCCATCCCCCCAGCATAATGCAATTGCAGCGAAACTCCACCAGCACACGCAACTCCTTGAAACGCAAGCAGAAAGCGCCCTGAACAGACCTTTGTTGTAAATGTGCATTATATACAACATTCATAGGCTAGAATAGGTGTAGTCCCCTATGTTCTTGGGGGGTTGGGTGTACACTCCAACCACACTTTGTGGTTGGTCCTTGGTTGGCACTTGCCAACTTTTGATTCTAACACCAACCATCCACATCCTAGATACATTGTGGGGTTTCCTACTCCACAAGGCACCTTACCCATTGGCCAACTTTGTGGCCAATAGGGTTAGCTCCTCCTCCACTCCTCTCTTCCTTGCATGCTTGTACTATAGAGCCTCCTTGGCTCATTACTCAATCATTCTTGAATCCTAGCATGGTCTTCAGAGCCAAATGGCTCACGCCACCTTCCCTTGATCCTTAGGCTGTAATTTCCTTTCCGCTCCTTTAGCCTAGCGGACTATGACCTACATCGGTCCACCCGCACCTTAGATCTAGCCTCCCACGGCTCAGTTCCGCCCTCCCGCACCTCAGATCTAGCTTTCCGCGGCTTAGATCTACTCCTCCGCGACCTCAATCCTCCCTCCCGCGGCCTCAATCCTCCCTCCTGCGGCCTCAATCCTCCCTCCCGCGGCCTCAATCCTTCCTCCCGCAGCCTCAATCCTCCCTCCCGCGGCCTCAATCCTCTCTCCCGTGGCCTCAAACCGCTTCCCCTGTGGCAGCAATCCTCCCTCCCGCCGCCACGCCTCAATCTGCTCGCCGACGTGTCCGGCCTGCGCGCCGACGCGGACGACCAGCGCGGCGACGCGGACGACCTGCGCGCCGCTGCGGACGGACAGTGCGCGGTAGCCGACGACCTACACACCGACGCGGACGGCCAGCGCGCGACCACGGACGACCCGCGCGCCGACGTGGACGGCCAGCGCACAACCACCGACGTCCCCCGCGTTGACGCGGACGGCCAGCGCATGACCGCCGACGACCCGCGCACAGACGCGGACGGCCAGCGCGCGACTGCCAATGACCCGCGCACTGACACGGACGGCCAGCACGCGACCACTGACGGCCCGCGCGGAGTCGCGACCGACCTGCGCGTCGGCGCGGACGGCCAGCATGGAGGAGCGGCTGACATGCGCGCCCTCGCGGACGGCTGCCCGCGATCGCCACGACCTCGCCCTTCACCAGCGCCCTGCCCCACACTTCCGCGCCAAGCTCCCTCCCCCTACTCCACCCTCCACGGCACCAGCAGCGGCACCGTCATCGGCACCAGCAGCGGCACCGTCATCGGCACCAGCAGCGGCACCTTCAACGGCACCAGCAGCGGCACCGTCAACGGCTCCAGCAGCGGCACCTTCAACGGCACCAGCAGCGGCACCGTCAACGGCACCAGCAGCTGCACCTTCAACGGCACCAGCAGCGGCACATTCAACGGCACCAGCAGCGGCACCTTCCACGGCACCAGCAGCGGCACCTTCCACGGCACAAGCAGTGGCACCTTCAGTGCTTCGTCAACATGGCTCGTCGGTCGACTTGGCGACCATTGACTCTCTCGAGTTGCTGGGCGACAACTCATCCGCCAACTGGCACTCGTATGCCCACTCCGTTGAGGTGTTGCTCTCCTCGGTTGTTGTCAGTGGATATTCCCTTCGTTCCGTCGTGTTCCAGGAGGAGGGTGGACTCCAGCCCATCGCCCCTTCTGCGCCCACTGGACCTGCTCCCGACAAGCCCGGACCTGAGCCCGAGCCTCCTGGTGATCCTCCCTCCTTCGCGCCTAAGTTGGATCTTACGTTTTCGGACGATTACGACAATTTTTACGTCTACGAACGGTCGCCCTGATTCGGCCTTACGTTTACGGTCACCTAAAAACTTTTCTGAGCTGCCCGAGGAAATAAAACGACCAGAGCATCAGGAAGATCCCCTCCAACCTAGTTCTGTAACTCGCTATCTTGTTCGACGTCAACCTAGCAGCTCATTCGCAACCTATCGTGTTTCTCTCTTACTAACCCGGTCAACGTTGAATCTGAAACTTTCACAGACTTGAAAGGCGCTCCATACGTAGTATAGTCGCTATCTATGCAGGTACACGACAAATTAGTGGTAGGATTTGGTACCCATACACAATCCAGAAAAAAAAAAATATCACATTAGTTTTTTTTTCCTGCCCGCCTCATACTTACGCGTAATTCTACGTTTCCGTTTACGTTTATGCTAAATTACGCGAAATTTACGTTTACGAGACCGAAGAAAACGTAAGAGACCAACTTAGCTTCGCGCGGATGTCCACGACCCACACAGCGTGGAAACTGCCATCCGTGCCTACCGCACCACACTCAACGACCACCTTCGCCGCCAACTACGCGATGAGGACGACAAGCGCACCTATGAGGAAGCTGCTGCCCGCCACCGCGAATACCAAGCCTGGCTCACCACGTATACCACACGCTTCGCCACCTACACCACCGACATCGCTGCGTGGCGCATTGCTGATCGCCGAGCTCTCGCCATCCTCCTCGCCACTATCCCCTCCTCCCTCAAATGAGAGCTTTCACCCACCTCCTCCTCCCACCTGTGGCAACTGCTTGTCGACCTCTTCGAGAGGCAGGACATCGCCACCCTCTATGCACTCATCAAGGAATTCGGATCCATCACCATGGATTCCACCGCCGGCGCAGCTGCCTTCACTCGCGGCGTCCTTGACCTTGCTCGCCGCCTTGCAGCACTTGGTGTTACCTACCCTGACACTGTCATCTGCTGCCACCTCCTCGAGGGTCTCACCCCTGTCTTTGATGCCCACAAGCTAGCATACATGCAGATCCTCTCCAAGCATGACACTCCCGCTCAGGTTGCCCAATGGATTATCACCACTGAAGCTGAAATCCTTCGCCACTCTTCCTCCACCGCCGCAGCGGCACAGCAGCGCAGCAGCAAAGGCGGGCGTGGGGGGGGGCGCGGAGGTGGGCGTGGTGGTGGTCGAGGCGGCTCTGACGTTCGTGGTGGTGCGGGTCGTGGTGCAGCAGCGGCCTTCCCACCCTGTCAGAATCTTCCCCTCTATGGCCCCACCTGAGGCCAACGCTGCAACCAAACCACTCATGCAACTGACACGTGCTTCAAGGCACTCAGCGATGAGTGGTTCGCTTGTGGGAACTCTGGCACCCCTCCTCGCTGGTCTTCAGGAGGTCAATCTGTTCGAAAGCACACTCAATTCTCAGCTGAACAAGATGCGCACCAATGAAGTTGTGAGCATAAAATATTATCCAACCAGCCCAAGAATCACTTTTGAGGAAGCACATTCCTTCCAAAGCTATGAAATATTGCCTTTGATCCCCAATGTGAGAGTGGTTATTCCCGCTTGGAATAGCTGCTGCAACCATAATCTAGCCTGCTTATCCCTAAGAAATCAAATCCTACTTGTCTTCAGCTTTGTCTACACCCTCAAGAAGTAATTACACAACTCGATTTTAAGTCATTGAGATATGCAGTAAGGACATCACACAGATATTCCTTTCAGCAACAAATTTTTGTTCCTCGTAAGTCTTTTCTTCCAAGAAAAGAAAACCCTAGGTGGTCAAGCCCCCCTAGCGGAGCCCCTAGGTTCTTTTTCTTTTTCGTTTTCAAAGGTTGCCAGGTTGTGGTTTGGGTACTAATTGTCTTTGTGTTAACATTTGGCTATCCCTGTACAACAATTTATGCACATTTGTATTTGCTTACCTCGTGGCACATTCATATGTAGGCCTAACATGTTCCACTTCCATAAATGCCTATTAGAGTGGATGTGTGAGCTATCATGATTACTTTTCAACTCTCATGGCTTTTTCAAACTCCTCCACATCTCTCTCGCCCCAACAACTTACTCTATCCCTCTCTTTTCTTGGATGGAACCCGTTGTGTGTATGTACCATCAGGGATCTATCAGTTAACAAATTGAGTGGGTCTATTCCATCCACCATCGGTGACATGATCAGCCTTGAAGACCTGTCAGTATCAAGAAGATTTTATTGAGACTTCAACTTTGGCTTGGATGGCTCTGATTCATTCCTTCAATTTCTCCTTAAAGCTTGTTTTTTATTTTATTTGGGCATGAGCAAAGAGAGCCGGGCCAGCCCACCAGCACCATCGAGGACCATCAGAGCGATAATGGGTTGGTTTCACAATAAAGCTTTGGGAGGTCCTTCATATGGTGACAGACAGTGGCATTTTACTAATCCGGGCGAAGTTGGGATCTTCCAACCAAATCCGTGTCAATGAGCATTTTGCTAGCAAAATATGTGTGGACATGACTTCAAACATGCCCGCCTTGGGCTGTGGCATGGCAGACAGTACATGACCTCGTTGCAGCAAGCCAGCCGTGGTCTGATGCCTGAATTGCTACTCGAGAGGTAAGAAGGTTGACCTTGGTCTGGCCCTATTCTCCTTTGTAATGCCCCTTGCTTGACCCTGTGCTTATGTCTCATCCTTGCACGATCATGGTCGGAATGCAATTTCTCAAACCGTACTTGTGTTACCCTTGGTAGGAACTATGTGAGAACCGTACCCGTTTTCAAAATTTGCAAGAGAAGGAGTTGTAACTAGGCCGGTGTGGTTTATGCCTCTGTGGCCAGACATGACCGGGTCGGGATTGAGAGGATTTGGGATGGGCATTAATCTTGCTTTGATAGCCGTGGCTTGTGGCCTGCCTGATTGAGTTGGGCCAAGCCTAATCTACCACTATCCTAGGAAATCTCATGACAAAGGGTCCACGTTTTTCGCAACCAGCACTTTCCACTATCAGAAATGTCCTCAGGGAGGCATGAATGACTCCTTAAGATTGAGCAGTAGGCACGAGCATAGGTCCAAGACAAGCTGGCATGTTTCAAGTTGCCATGCGCTGATGGGCTGACGAGCCAGTCGGGCAACTCACCTGGCTTGTCCATTGTAGGCAAGCCGGTCAAGCTTAAACAAGCAGGTATGGCTTACCACCGTCTGCTACACACCACGCGGTTGTGGTATTTTGCTGCTTCGGGTGGATCTTGCGTTTTAGCTTTGGATATGCATTGTGAGTTTCTCCTCTAGGCAGGAACAAGCTAGTGCAGTGAAGGCGATCTGCATTCGGATTAGAAAAGAGAGTGTCACCGGCAACTTTTTGTAAATTTAGGGTTTCGGGTTGCCGGCGCAAGTTCAATGAGCCATCAAGCTGGGGCTTGGCTCGTTGAGATCCCCTTGGTTCCAGCCAGTTGATACTCAGGACATGAGAAATAGCCCTGTTCATCAAGCATAATCTTGCTCAGTTCGGTCCAGCAAGGTTCGACCAGCTTGTGGCGGGCTGGTGAAAGAAAAGGTTTAACGACTCATTGAGGTTTGTCACGGGCCACAGGATTGAAGCAGCCTGGTTTTACAGATGTACCTTCTCACTGAGGACCAAAACGACTCAAGCAGTCTGACATCAGAACAGTTCAAGTAGTGCGGGCTGGCCGGTGAAAGTCAGGGCACCGTTTGACCTTTGATAAACCAGTTTGGCACAAGTCACAAGGGAACCTGCCCTTGGTCATGTTGTAGTGAAAGGCATAAATTTCAAGCATGAGTAGCCCATCTTTTGCGTCTTTCATGAGTCAATGTGCTCTTAAATTGGTCTTCAATTTCCCTATCCCCTAAAGGTTTCCCACATACTTGAGCACAGCCTTAAGCTGTATGTGAGGGGAGAGACGCATTGGATTGCGAGCATGAGCAGTCCATCTTCTGCGTATTTGATGCGTCAATGTGTTCATAAATTGGTCTTCAATTTCCCTCTTTAGGAGTCCCCTAAAGTTTTGCCACATACTGAGCACGGCCTTAAGTTGCGTGTGAGGGGAGAGAAGACGCACTGGGATGCGAGCATGGGTAGTCCATTTTTTGCATCTATGATGCGTCAATGTTCTCTTAGATCTGTCTTTGCTTTCTCTCTTTGGAAAAGAAACCGCACAGAATGCAGGACATTCACAACAAAGTAGAGTTGGGCATGTGGCCCGACTCGACCCGATTTGGCAGGGCCATTCCGGCCCTCGGGTCGGGTTGGGTCGGGCCGGGTTCGGGCCAGATTCTTGAAACAGCTGGCCCAACCTGGGCGTAAGAACTCGGGTCAGAGGTTACCCGATTTCGGGTCGGGCCGGGTCGAGACGGGTCAGGAAACCCGATTTCGCCCGCGCTCTGTGCAGATCGGCGCTTTCGTCCGCCGATAGGCACATATCGGCGATTTCTCCCGCCGATCTGCGCGGATCGGCGATTTCTCCCGCCGATCTGCGCGGATCGGCGATTTCTCCCGCCGATCTGCGCGGATCGGCGGTTTCTCCCGCCGATCTGCGCAGATCGACGATTTCTCCCGCCGATATTCGCAGATCGGCGATTTCGCCTGCCGATATGCGCAGATCGGGGCTTTCGTCCGCCGATCTGCGCAGATCGATGAGTTCGTTGGCGTAATTCTGTCAATTTCGCTGGTCGATCTGGTGGAGATTGGGAGTTTCGCCGTGACACTCGTTTCCGACGAATGTGTTGGAACAAATATTTCCAACCAATTCGCCATTGCTCACCACTCCTTACTGCATTAAATCTACCATTCCCAACCCTCCCCCTCCCACTCTTTACAAATCCCTCGACATCGAGCCTCTCCACAAAGTCGTCTTCAAACTTGTCACATCATTCTTTGGCTGCAAACTAAGTAGTTATGGTTCCTAGGTGTCTTTGGTCGCTGGAGGAAGGATATTAGGTTTACGGTAATGAATTGATGTCGAGGGGAAAAAATACTCTTGAAATAGAATGTGTTAGGGTTTCGGGTCCCCCCTGTGTCGAAATAGGGTCGGGTCTGACCCTACCCGATTTCCCAAATCTTGATCCGATTTCGGGTCGGGTCAAAGCTGACCCGAAACCCGACCCGACTCGGCCTGAGTCTCATGCTCGGGTCGGGTTTTGGCCCGGGTCGGGTCGGGCCGGCCCGCACGGGGCAGGCAATTGAAACCGCTGACTCGACCCGGCTAAACCACGGGTCGGGTCGGGCCGGCCCGACCCGAGCGGGGCAAATGCTCATCTCTACAACAAAGGCAGCATCTTAGACCGCCATGGGTAGCTAACTGGGATCAGTATGGAAGAAGCCTCACCATCTACTTGGTATTGGGGTCTGCCGCCTACCTCTGCACATTAGCCTCATGGGAAAGGGATGTTCTGGATGATCATCATGTTCAAATGGGACTGAACTTCTACGAAATCAAGCTCGTAGCGAAGGGAAAAGACCCAAAGCCACGATATATAGGCTGCCATCAGTTTGATCATACCAAATTAAGTCATCAGACCAGCCATTCTCGAGCTGCCATCATCGCCGGTCAAATCTGAGCCATCCCTGAACTCTCCTTTTCGCTACAGAAAAAAAAAACAGAATGTCTTGCCAACGCTGCTGGCCTACAGACTTTCCTTCACAAAATCAATTTGTTCAAATGCAGACAGTGAAGACATTATGCGATGGAGTATGCTGTTTTAAGCGCTGTGCATGCACAGCTGTGTCAGGTCATAGTTGTATCCTGCTGTGCCTGTCAAGTA